TTTTGTCGAGATTGCTTATTATTTCCGTCCACATTATTGTTTTTGTTAAAGTGTTTGGATACTTGTTTTCATGTTGCATCGCAATAATGACCAATTGATTTCGATTTGGTAACTTTTGTCTAATTTCATCAAAAAAGAAACAAAAAAATCAGTTCATTCAACTTGCTTAGTAAACATTTTGTCGAGATTGCTTATTATTTCCGTCCACATTTTTTTATTCAATTAAAATCAAAGTTCATTCTCCAAATATTTGACTGATTTGCAGTTCTTCGATTAAAGTTCAGTTTTTTCAATACTTGATTATTTTGCATTTTTGAAAGAGAGTAGAATAAAGTTTTCAGACGACAATAAAGACAATCAGACGTTTCATTTCATTTCATTTGAATACCCAACATCAAGATTCTCGGAATCATAATACAATTTTCCATAAAAAACATGAACGTACTGTTGTTTTTTTTCTAAAAATTCTTATAAATTTCCTAGGCAAAGTCTGAATAAAAGCTGAACGCTATGAAAACGGTGCGGAAAAGTTCGTCTTACGGAGGTAAGACTATTTATTTATTGCAAAAAATGTCAATTTTATACCCATTTTGTCAGATTTATTTTCTAATTTGGTAATTCTATTGCCTATATTGTCAAAATTATTTTCTCAATCTGGCAATTTCATTGGACGTAATGTTAATTTTATTGATTGTTTTGTTATATTTTATTTCGATTTGTTGTCGATTTTGTTGAATTTTTTTGTCGTTTTGTGATTTTTATTGGCGATTTGTAAATTTTAAAGGAGGATCCGTAATGAGCCAATATCAACTATGTGCTCGGTCAGCTTTTGATAAAATCCATATTGTATTCGAATCCCGGCCACTCTAATTCATGAGTGTGATCGACACGAAAAAACATTCGCATTTACCTATTTTGCACACACATGTAGTGGAGAAATATATGGATGAACTCCGATAGAACTTTTGAATGGAGACGACACGTTTCTTTTTCATCCGCTCGTTAATCGCTTTTATACTTGAATGAGGTCTCAGTCATTTGTTTTCATTTTTAAAATATATTTTAATTTTTTTCAGATATTTAAGAGGTCATTTATATGTTTTTTGTCTTTTTTTCCTTCAATTTACCAGAAATTACACCGCCAATTACATAAAAAAGGCATGAACAATATTTTATGTTTAAAAAAAACGTTCTTTCTCATGCTGTGCCTTCAAAAGCACCACCGAACTGTGGTTTATTTGGATGTCGTTAGGCGACAAAATATTTTTAGATCCAAAATAAACGAATTACAGTCCCTAATTAAAGTTTACTGTTTGCGTACATCATGTGCGAAACAGTCCAATGCGAACGTTTTTCCGTGTCGATCAGACACAATTGGCCGGGATTTGAGTGCAATAAAATTAATTTTCTAGTGCTTCGTTTTTAAAATGTGGTTAATGATCGGATATTCGGTTTGAATTTATTGACGATTTTCGGAATATTATGGTAAAATGTGTATTTTGAAGTGGATTTTCGTTTATTTCCTCTTACTAAAAACAGTGTATTCACGAATCGAAGTTCCAATTGGTGAGAAATTCCTTTTAATAAGTGAAATTACGCAATTTTTACGCTCAGTTTTGTGCGCTCGATCTATAAAGTTAATTAATCTGTGGTGAAATAATAAATGTGCTTAATAATAATCAATCGATCTTAGGTGCAATTTCCGATAAAGAAAATGGGGAAGCTGAAGTTGCATTTAAGCATGCGGTGTTCCGTGAAAATACGTACGGTGCAAAATTCAATCTGATTCCCATCATTAAAAATATTGATGCCACATATACGTATGAAGCTGAGGAGGCTGGTACGTCAAAGCAAATAGATAAAATCATAGTTGTATTGTAGAAAAATCGAAATTTTCATAATAAAAAACATACATTTTCACATTGCAAATCAGTTTACTTTCTTCATAGCTCTTCAGCATGTATTTTTTGGTATTAATTCCTAATAATAGTTTCGATTCAATATCTCATACATAAATCTCATTTGAGTGCCTTCTTTCGACACTAGGCTAAATCCGTCTGATGGATTGAGTGATCGCTCTCCATTTGGCCCACAGCCAACTAAACTCTTACGAATGCAAGTTGAACCCGTTGTCGCAATTGTGCATTTAAATTTCGTTCATGATTAATCACATGATCGTGCAGTGCAACGTTTTGTTTGTTTTCGAAACATTATTTTCATTATGTTTTTAGTGAATACTTTTAGCATGACATTTTGCGTAATATAATGTCAATTTCTTCGTTTTACTTCGCAAAGTGTGTTCGATGTTCTCGGAAGGTGTAGCTGCAATATTTGCATCATCAAGTGGGCAATTTAAACATACTGGTATCGTGGCATCAATGGCAAATGAGTTTGGTGTTCCGCATTTTATGAACCAATGGACGCCTGAGTTACCGGCATTCAAACGGCCATTTCGTCAGTTCACGCGAAATTTGCTCCCAAGTCCAAGCATTTTCTCTCGTGCTTTGTCCGACCTAGTGAAAGACTATGATTGGACTTCATTCACCTTGATTTATGAGGATAATTATGCTTTGATGCGACTGCATGATGTTCTACAGTATCATGACACTACAGTTGGTCCGGTTATGATACGCCAGCTGGACGAAAACGAAGATCAAATGCCAATGCTAAAAGAGATTGCGAAATACGGTGAAACGAGAATCATCTTGGATTGCAGCTTGGATAGAGTGATACCCATTTTGGCACAGGCGAAAAAAGTCAAATTACTCGAAGAGTACCAAAATTATATCATTACAACACTCGATACGCATACGATTGATTTCTTTGAAATCGAAGGCAACCACGCCAATATCACCACATTTCGAATCATCGATCCGGGCAGCGTTGATGCCGAAACTGCTGTACACGACTGGAAACAGGATGCGTCGGAAAAGGAAGAAAGCACTGGCTATTCGACGAGAAAATTAAAATGAGTTCATTCTTGAAATACGTAAGAGAGTGAGACTAAAAGTGAAACTTGTTATTTACTTTTGAAGACTGAATCAGCTCTTATTCACGATGCCGTTAAAGTATTTTCGTCATCTCTACGCGATTTCTCTCTGAATGCCGAAATTGAATTACCTGAACTGGACTGCAAGGAGCCGAAAAAGTGGGAACAGGGCGAAATGATACTGAAAATTCTGAATGAAGTATTTTTAAATTATATGAAATGACCTGAATTTAAATTTTGAATACTTGAATGGTTTTTACTTTAGAAAACGGATGAAGGGATAACCAGCCGAAAACAGTTCAACGACAACTTCGAGCGGAATTATTTTGTCTTGGAAATTATTGAGTATTCGTTTGCGGAGGGCCTGAAGAAGATTGCAACGTGGGATCCCGATAAAAAGATTACAATGCTACGCACAACCGAAGAAGTTGAACTGAAAATTTCACAATCATTGCAAAATAAAACCTTGATTGTAATAACACGCACTGGAATGCCTTACATGAGAATCAAGCAAGTCATTGGGTTTTCTATTCTTCTTTTTTTACACAATTATAAAATTATAAAACGATACCATTGATAATGGTTATTTTGTTGTGTGGTACATATTAAATTGACTTTTTGATAAAACAACATGTTTGTGATTAGGCCAGAATACGATAGGATTCCCTGCGAAGGAAATCATTGCCTCGAAGGATATGCGTATGATCTTAATGATGTCATTTCCAATATTTTGGGCTTCAAGTATGAATTTCGTTTGGTGGCTGGCAATAAATATGGCTCTTATAACAAGGAAACAAAGAAATGGGATGGTCTAATAAAAGAGCTCTTGGATCATGTGAGTGCCGGAAAATCCAACATGAATGAAGAAGAATGAATTGTAATAACTCAGATTGAACTTTTCAGAATGCTGATATGGCAATATGCGATTTGACCATTACATACATGAGAAGATCAGCTGTTGACTTCTCCGCTCCTTTTATGACACTGGGTAAATTTCGATTGTTATATCAATTAACATATTACACACAAATTCACTCAATTGCAATTTGCAATCCGAATTTTCTTAAATTGGAATAAGTATTTTGTATGCCAAACCAGAAGCAGAGCCACCGAATTTTTTCGCCTTCATGGACCCATTGTCATTGGAGGTGTGGCTTTATATAGCTACAGCCTATTTGATTATGACCGTCGCACTTTTAATTTTATCAAGGTAGTTTTGAAATTACTCCGGTTTTAATTTCGTAGATTTGTGCTGATTTTATTTTAATAATCACAGAATGGCGGCTGATGATTGGGAAAATCCTCACCCGTGCGATGAAAATCCCAAAGAATTGGAGAACATATGGAATATGCACAACTGTATTTGGTTGACTGTAAGCCTCTATTATGCAGCAAGGATGTGATATTTTGCCGAAAGCCGCATCAACTCTCATTGCACTCAGTTTTTGGTTCTTCTTTGCTCTCATCATCATTTCGTCGTATACAGCCAATTTGGCGGCTTTTTTGACCATGTCTAGAATGGGCGTTTCAATTGAAAGCGCCGAAAATTTGGCGAAACAAACGAAAATTAAGTATGGAGCCGTGCTGGGAGGCAGTGCACTACAATTTTTCAAAGACTCCAACTTTTCAACGTACCAACGCATGTGGAGCGCTATGGAATCGATGGACTCATCACCATTTGTCGCTGATAATAAAGAAGGTTGTAGCTTCAATCAATATATTCTTTTCCCAAAGAAAATTTTCAATTTTTTTATTTTGATTTTCTCGTTTGGACTTCGGTTTCATAAAAGGGATCGAACGCGTTCTTAAAGCAAAGGGCGGGTATGCATTCTTGATGGAATCCAGCCAAATTGAATACTTTCCCCAGCAAAATTGCAATTTGACTCAAGTTGGTGGACAATTAGATAGCAAGGGGTACGGTATCTAAATATTCATGTAAATTCCATTTGAAATTCGGTCGAAATATTGAGAATTGTAATTCTCATCGTTTTATTCTCTTTTGTAGCTATGGTATCGCTTTACCGTTCAGTAAGTGACGTTACATCCTTTTTAGATTTGTTAAAGATTTTAGGGAATCTGTCCATTTAAAGACTTTCTTCGGCCCTTTTTTCACTCGTCAGCCACTCAATATTGAAACTCCAAGAAAATGGAATATTGCTTCAACTCAAAGAAAAGTGGTGGGTTGAAAATAATCCAGGCGCCGGTGAATGTGGTGATGACAGTGGAGGTGGAGGAGATACACCTGAGTAGATTAGATAATGTTGGTGGTGTATTTCTCGTTCGTGGAGGCGGTCTGGTGGTTGCGGTTATCGCTTGTATCATCGATTTCATATGGAACATTCGGCAAATTGCTATCGATGAAACGGTTCGTTATTTTTGGTTGTTTACCATAAACAATTTGAACACTCTTTCAGTTTTAGCAAAAATACAAATTTTATTCTGGCCTAAAACCCGTTTTCAATGACGAGGAATCTTTTTTATTCATTAGATTACACCATGTGAAGCTTCGGTTCGCGAATTGAAATTCGTTATTGATCTACGGCAAACAACAAAACCAGTGGGAAAAGGACTTGAAGAACGATCTGATTCGTCTCGTTCAAGTCAATCATCAAAATCGGATCGTTCGCTAAAATCAGCCATTTCCAAAGAATCGCTCAAAACAGCGGAAAGTGAAAAACTTGATAGGGTTTAGATTCACAATGTAAACACTTGATCTTCATATCAATCGAGATGGATTCTAATTCTCGGTTGGATATCGAATAAATCTTTCATTTCATTTTGCTCACTTCCATATCGAACGCTATCATTGTGAGCTATTTATGTGAAAAATCCCCTGTTTAAATAAATAAACCGAGTGTGAGTCATAACAAGTGGTTTTGAAAGAATATCGACGTTTTCTTTTGATATGTTTTGCTTCATTTATCGCAAATAAACTTTTACATTTGTTTGAGAGAAAACAATAACAAAAACACAGCTGATTATAAAAATGAGCGCGTACGCGCTCGGTTGTGTGTTATTTTCGTCGCGCTGCAGGAAATTCGAACATCTTTCCAATAAAAGCGTGAGTGTTCTCCAATTGGAATAAGCGAGTCTAAATTGCTTTTATTTTCAGTGATCGCTGACAGTCAACTGCAGACATCAAACGACTTCAGGCTGTTCCATTATACACATCCTATTTTTTGTGCAGAGAAAATGTGAAAATCGTTCAAAAATGAAGTTTTCACTCACATTCTCCGTAGTTTTCTTACAAATTTGCGGATTTGTAACACCGCAGCAATATAAATCCATAAATATTGGTAAGTTTGAGGAAAAAAAGGAATGTTGATTGAAGTGAAAAGTGTTACACATGCGAGCATTTTTGACCTTTGATACTGCAACCCAAATTAATTTCGAAGTTTTAGTAAGAAAATTCATGCTTCAATTTGAAGAAAATAAGAATTTCATTCGAAATTACGAACAAAATTCAAAAGTGATCGATCAAGAACATCTTTAGAAAAATCGAACTTAAAAATAAGAACATTGAGAAAAACGGCCGAGAGTGCGCAGAATCGGAGCAATGTGTAGTAATCGTTACTGCAAAATTGGAGTGGTAAATATTGTTTGGATCGAACGCGTGTGACTCTCCGTGCTTGGCGACGTGTGAGCCGACAGTGTGTACTAAAAATAAACTACTGTGACTTTGTGTATTGAAAACAAACGGTGTTTTTTGAACGCGCGCGCGCATTTACGTTCTCGTTAGTGAAAACATCGTATCATGTTTTTATTTTTGCTCTCTTGACGCTGTGAAAATTTTATGAATCGACGGGGAATTCCGTTTGTGTCACAAACAAAGCAACATTCATGAATGTTCTGATTCAATTTGCTATTTTCTTTCGATCAGGTGGTATTTTTCCGGAAAAAAGCAAGCATTTGGTGGATGCTTTTGAAAATGCAGCACGACTGATGAATACGTTTAGTGAATACGTCAAACTACAACCGTCTGTGACTACTGTTGATATAAATGATAGCTTTAAAGTGCAAAAAGCAGGTACGTGTTTGATGGAATAGAACTAATTCGAACTAAACATTGCTCAATGAGCAGCTATTTACTTTATCTGCTTGATTTCATTCCAACATAAAAATGATTGGTTAACCGTAATGCTGAAAATTGTGTTTCAGTTTGTGATATGGTCGAAAGCAATGTAGCTGCAATTTTTGGACCAAATTCACCAAAAACCACAAGTAAGTCGAGAAATAGTTTATTTTTTCACATTTTTGTATATGATAAAAACCGAATCAAAATCACCTTTTTTTGTACCAAATTTTAGATCTCGTATCATCAATATGCAAAAAGGTACAAATTCCCTACTTCACGTCGATTTGGCAGCCGATCGATGTTGACGACTTCAACAGCACTGACTCCTTTACACGGAACCTATTTCCCCATCCAAAAAGATATTCCGCAGCATTGATGGAGATAATAAAAAGTTTTCGATGGCTGAAAATTGCTGTCATTTACGATTCTGAATTGAATTTGGCCAAGCTACAGCACACATTCAATGATTTTTCGAGAGTGGATAACAGTGGTAAACAATCGGTGTCATTCTATAAATTGCCCACGGATACGGACGACTACCAGCCATTGCTTAAGAGTATATCCAAATCGGGCATCGTTCAGATCATCATTGACTGTACGATGGATAATAGTTATTCGGTGCTGAAACAAAGCATCAAAGTTGGCATGACAAACGAATATGTGGTTCGTAGTGGAATATTAGTTATTTTCTTTTTTTTGAACATGTAAATGTTCATTGAAATATACCACATCTTGTTTTTCTTTATTACAGAGCTACTTTCTACTCGGTAATGATGGTCATACAATAGATCTATCATCACTGTCTGATATAAAATCCAACATAACAACCATTCGACTTTTGAATCCAACGAAAGCCGATGTTTATGAATACGAAACGCAGCCGATTTTCTTGAGAAATCGATACTACAAACCAATTTTCAATGCAAATCTGATGACAGTAAGCTATTTCCAAATCCAATTCATAAAGAAAACTTTCTAGAACAAAAATGTGTCTTAGACGGAAGCTGCTCTGATTCAAGACGCTGTAACGGTTTTCTCGAAGGCTTTTGGTGACAATGTTACATTTATCGATCAGTTCAATATGAGTCCAACTTCATGTTACAATTTTCTTCCGGAAGAAGATGAGGAAATGCCGTCCAGTGGCAGAGATGTTCTCGATAAAATTGATCAAGTAACTATTCCTTTGATTCTTGATTATGGAAACTTAATCCGTTTTTTTCTCATTTTCAGAATACTGTTCCGGGTCTGACTGAAGAGATCCGATTCGATGCAGACGGATTACGTGATATGTTTTACATTGAAGTGCTTGAATTACAACGTAACAACGATACCGGCGATACTTATCGAAAAATTGCTCTTTATGACACAAAATATGGCATCACATTGCTGCGCAACTTTACCAATGTCGAGGAGCAAACCACAATATCCATGAAGTTGAAAGTATTTAAAGTGATCTTGCGCGAGGGAATGCCATTTCTACGAAAAAAGTACTTTGTCATTTTGGGTTTTCTGCGGTTTTCTTTGTGTCATTTATATTTGAATTCATTTTATAGGATCGATGTTGTCATTGGCCAAAATATGACTGACAATGATTTGTACGAAGGTTTTGCAACGGAGCTCATAAAAGCAATCGCTGTCAAATGTGGATTTAGCTATGAGATCAAAGTTGTCGACATGGAAAACGGTAAAGAAGATCCAACCACTGGTCAATGGTCGGGGATTATTGGAGAAATTGTCAATAAGGCAAGCAAAATACTTCAATACGAAAACTTGGACCAATATTTAATTTTGAACTTGAAATTGATTTGTTTTTCTATTTCAGAGAGCTGACTTAGCCATTGGCGATATTACTGTGACGCATTCACGCAAAACTGTAATGGATTTTTCTACCCCATTCATGACTTTAGGTGATCAATATAAACCGTTAAAATTGTAGATCGGTTAAGGCCTACGTCTAAAACTATTTTTCGTCGTATTTTTGTGTTTGATGAAACAGGAATCAGTATTTTGTATGCTAAACCACACAAAGAGAAGGCTGGTTTGTTTTCTTTCATGGATCCACTGTCAAGGCACGTTTGGGTTCACGTGGCTACGGCTTTTTTATGTATTTCAATCACTGAATTCTTGCTGGCTAAGTAAACTATATTTCACCTCATTTTATCACCAGAAAAAGAAATTACGCAACTTTCTCTGTATGAAGAAATTCCAATTATTTTCTAGAATGACTGCGAATGACTGGGAAAATCCACATCCCTGTGATGAAGATCCCGAAGAATTGGAAAATATTTGGAACATGCACAACTGTATTTGGTTGACGGTAGGCTCTATTATGCAGCAAGGATGTGATATTCTGCCCAAGTAATATATTTTTGACACAATGGCTCTACCTAATGAATGTGGCTTACATTTTTATTTGTACGATCTTCAGAGGTATACCGACCCGTATGGCTGCTGCTGTCTGGTGGTTCTTCGCTCTCATTGTCATTTCTTCTTATACCGCTAATTTGGCTGCCTTCTTAACCAAAATTCAAATGGAAGAAAGTATTGGCAGTGTCGATGATTTGGCATCTCAAAATCAAATACGATATGGGTAAGTCAAGCATCTTTCTATCGCATTCAAAAGAAAAATACCAGTCAACAATGACCTAATTTCTCGTAACTATTTTGTCTTAATAATTCATAATTGTAGGCTACAAGCTGGTGGCAGCACGGAAGCTTTTTTCAAGGTGCCTAATTAACATCGATTTGATTTTGAGAACGAACGTTTTTTTTTTAATCGCTATTTGGTATTTGGTATTTTCAGAACTCAAATTACTCCACCTATCAAAAGATGTGGTCTGTCATGGAAAAGGCTGAACCAAGTGTGTTTGTAAAAGACAATAAGGAAGGTAAATGAATGATTGAAAAATTATTCTAAATGTCGGAAAAAAAACATTAAAAAAGTCCATTCTTGGATAAGGTTCAATAATCAAATTTCACGTGTTTTGAATTTTTGCAGGTGTCGAACGAGTAAAAGGAAGTAGTCGCGGATATGCTTTCTTCATGGAATCAGCTCCCATTAAATATCAAGTTCACCGTGAATGCAATCTGACACAAGTTGGAGGCTTGTTAGACTCAAAAGAGTAAGAATAGCTGAATACTTCATGCAAATGCGTAGATATTGTTTTATCAAGTCATGCTTTTGCTGTTTTATTTTGTGGTTTATTTTTTTCATGTGTGTGTTTACCTCTCTCTCTCTCTTCCTCCTGACATAGGTATGGTATCGGAATGCCACTTAGTAAGTTGAAGATTCAGTTTTGTGAAATGCACTTCCAAGTTTTCTTAAAATGATACCGATTTTTCTTTTTCTAATAATCTTCTCATAGGTTCACCATATCGTACCGCAATTAGTCAAGCAATTTTACATTTGCAAGAAGAAGGAACAATTCAAGAACTTATAACGAAATGGTGGGAAACTAAAGATAAGGATGAAAATGGCAATGAAATCGATTGTGAAGCTGATGATTCAGAGCAATCTGATACACCCGAGCTTGGTATGTTATGATTGATTCCATCGCATGAATCAAATTTGATTCCCAAAACTTTTTTGGAATGAATTATCTAGGTATGGACAACGTGGGCGGGGTATTCTTGGTTTTGGCTATTGGTATACTTCTATCTATTTTGGTTGGTATTCTAGAGTTCATTTGGTCCATCCGACGCACCTCGATTGATGAACGGGTAACGATAGTCCTACATTGAGACACATTTTTCGACTTATAACTAATTTTGCTTTAAAAACAATTTATTAGTAAAATTCGAATCTGAGTTTTGAACTGACAAATTCCAAAATTCTTTGGACTTATTTCCCTTTCCAGATTACTCCATATGAGTCATTCAAGAAGGAGCTCAAATTCGCCGTGAGTGTATGGGAAAATCGTAAGCCAGTTGCGCGTATGTCAAGTGCTGGCAGTTCAATACGATCAAACAGCTCAAATGGAGGCGATGAAATGCAAATGGGTCCGACCAAAAATGCAAAACAAAACGGAGTCAATGGCTATTGACTTGGAAGTTATAAATGAAATTCGATCAAATGTAGAATAGTTTAGATTTATTTCCCGTAAATTGCTTAGGTTTATTCTGCTTTGCATTGCATCGATTCAATTATTTTACATTGCTTTGATTTGATGGGTGGCGGTCATAACGCCCCGGACGGACGAACGGACAACGACCGGACGAGCGGACGGACGCACTGCCCCGGAAGGACAATTTTTGTCTGTCCGTCGATTCAATACTCACACGGACAGAGACGACGGACGGACAAAAATTCACGGGCAGATTAATTTGTTGCGGATACACGGACGGACGGACAATCTCATTTTTTGATGGGATAGTTATTAATGAATGCTCGCACAAAATTGATACGGTGGTCATCACCGTGATACATTAACATAAATTATCGAATAATACACCGTCAACAATTTGTGTGTTGCCATCTCAATGATATTTTTTTCTTCTCATCCATTTATTCAAGCTCAGGGTTGTATGACCGATCTGTTCAACACCCTACAATTATAATTGCTGGTGTATCAACCGGTAAATACGATTAAATAGCACCCATTGTGAACTCTCGGTGGCTTTTTCATATAAATAAATCAAATAAAAGGAGGTTTTATCAACGAACAATGGCCGATATGCCCACGTACATTCTCGTGTTATTCGTTGTGTGTTGGGTTTTTTCTCTCTGTTAAATGTTTTCATCCAGCTGATTCGTGTATATAAATGTATCAGATCAGGCACTCACACAGAGAGACTTGAAGTTGAATTTCAATTGTCATTCTCAGATTTGTCAATAATTAGTTTAGTTTGAATTGTGCGCAAGTCATTTTCTCTTTCCTCTCTCACTCACAAAACTCTATACTATGTATTGGTTCAATCTCATCTTGAATACTGCAACGTTGTATGGCTACCGAATTATAAAACGACATATTCGATGGATCGAAACGAACGAAAATAAATTCGCTTTATTGGATGCTCATTTGGTGGTCTACGATGTGCATTGTGCACATCCTTAATTGCACCAAACAAATGCTGCAGTTAAATTAACATAGCCACGATCTGACGCTTCTTCTTCTCTCTTTATCTTCACTCCTCTCATTGACTCATTGAACTACTTGAAATCATACCCACACGAAACATCTATCTCTGCTTCTATCAAAACCCGAACGAGACAGAAAAAAAGAGTTTCTTTACGAAATCACTAGAAATAAAGTACGACAACAATTCATAAGCGCACCACACCGGAATCACAGCACAACAGGAATAATTTTCTCTCTCATTGATTAATATCAAATTAACTTGGTCAATGAATTGAATTTTTTGATTATTTTATCTATTGTTTCATATAAGAAGTAGTTTGCCTAGAATCAAATAAAAATTGTCTTCAATTTTTAACTATTTTGTATATTTCTCTCTGTCCCGTTTTTGCGCTCGCTTGTGCTCTCAAATAATCGGCATGATTCATAACCCAATCCCTGAAAGTAACAGAAAAATGGGTATTTGTGACTCATGACAAAAAAACACACATATTTTCCAGATACATTCACATGCTTGATCCTGACAATATGCACTTTGATTTTGATTCAACAGAATAAACACGAGTTTTGATACTAGAAGAAAAAAATACGAGGCACAAATGACGAAAAAAAATATGCATCAATTGTTGATCAATGGAAAAGACATAATCAAAGCGATTTGCGTCTCAATCAATGAATCGAAGTCATCATCTAGTTGTTATCGTTGTTGCTCAGATGCGTCACACCATGCATAAACATGACTTGAAAAATAAAAATAAGTATTTGTGCAGAACGTGGTCACTCGATAGAATCGGCTATCCACATATCATTCACTGATTTTTTAATGAAAATCGTACCACGTCTCTCCCACGTTCAAAATTGCAGAAATTGCGCAAAGTGTCAAATGTAATCTCGCTATCAGCATAAGAACGGAGGTAAAGCTAAAACTGATACCCAGCCATACTTCCATTGAGCGATAAAGCCGCATCGAAATAGATGCACTGCGGTGATGCTTTCTTTTTTTTTAATGGCCGGATCTCATGCGGACTGGTAAATGACATTTCGATTGATCATTCATTCTATTTTTCTCTCACATTTAAAATACGTCTAAAACGTAGACGTGCGTAGACGTTACAAATCAGAGTCAAATTTGCAAATATATCTCAATTCATGAATTTTTTTCTCCACAATTCAACTAATCAAGAGAAAAATAGTCGCAGTAAATTATAATTGAATGTTAAATCTCATGGTTGGAACAACGAAATGAGAAAAAATATATTGTTTTCTTTTTTTCGATATATAATTTAATTTGTATGTCAAAATCTTTTAATCATAAGTCAAAAACCCTTTCAAAAGTATTGAACAAAGTTGCTTATAAAAAGAAAACAATAGAGCTTATGATTTGAGAAATGAGTAAGTGCAATAAATTTTAAAAACTCTAAAAAAATATTAAATCTAATTTCCACAAAATAATGAGATTGGATTTTGCTAAATCTAGTTAGTTAATAAGGTACATTTGTGTATGAATCACTTTTCACCTGAGAACAGTATGGTTTTCAGTTCAATTTGAACTATTTTGCCAACTCACACGAATTTCTTGAAATCGAATCGATTTTATTAAATTTTAGAATGATTGGAATGCCTATTTTTTCCTCGGAAATTTAATTGGGAACGCGCGCTCATTCAGATTATTCTAATTATACTATTTAACTTGCTTCCCTTTTGACTTTTTACGAGCCCAAATGTACTCTGTCTTATTATGTCTATCAACTTTGTCTCTTGCTCGCTCGCTCGCTCGGTCAATTCACTCTCTTTCTCTATTTTTTTCATATAAATGTTTTGATTTTTTTCTCTTTGCTTTTTTCGAGTGTGTATATTTTCATTATTTGTTCACTGATTAATGTTTACCGTTGGTTTTGTTGCTATTCTCGCATTAGCGTTTGCTGCTATATTGTCTTTTTATTTTGCGTTGGACGATTAAAAGATAATTGTATGGAAAAATAAAAAGAATTACATTGGTAATCCCGAACTTTTCCGTACCGTTGGCCTGTGTGTCCGTAGGTACTTGTGGTTATTTTTTGTGAATTTTCTTGAATAAAGGCAGTTTTCTAGTGAAAAACTCAGTTAATCGGTCACTTCAGTTAAAACTTCGACAATTTTGTATGAGAGGTACCCGTTAATCGATTCTGATTGGCTTCAAACTTTCTGAGGTTTCATTTTTTGGAGAAAAAATAAGATTCTGAAAGTTTCATGTTGATCGCATTTGCAGAAGTTTGGTTTTTGGCCCTCAATTTTACTTTTTTCCAAGAAAATGTCGACAAAAATTGAGGACAAAAAATCGAATATATAGCAAATCGAGGCTCAAACAGAAAAATGAAATCGGATAGAAGTTAAAAATGAAAAATTTACCAGTGGCCATCTGCTGACGGCAAAATAGACATCATTTCCGATGCAGTTATATTGCCATACAACAATCCAATTTCGCTGATGGCTGCCATTGTTATTGCCAATTGACGTGTAGAAGTTATGGTATTCACGTTTGGCCGATTTGCAATCGCAGCTGGTACAACATTGTTTGGTGGCACATTTGCGATTGAAGCTGGTGCAACGACCGCTGCATTCACGACCGGCGCGGCTACACCCACGTTTGCCACATTGCGTTGACGAGGTCGACGATTGAGATTCGTTTCCGGGAAAACATATCCATCAGGTCGATGTGTGCAATAGTCGACGTGCCGTACTAATGGCGACGTTCCAAATTTTGCTGGTGCTTTGAGAATGTTTGCACACCATGAGCATCGGTAGAAAGCGTAGACCTCGACACCTGTATCAGCACGATAGATTTTCTGGAGCACATTGTATGTTTTCGATGTATCTGTAGGTGATGATGGCCACCGTGGCACGTAAACACCCAGCCGTAAATAAGCGGCAACCATATCCTTGTCCAATTCAGGTTGAACTACAGCCATTTTGCTTGAAAAACAATTGAAAAAGTATTAGATTGATTGGGATGCTATGCAAATAAAAATACCTACAATTAAAAAACAAAAAGCAATAATATTTTTTCGAACATTTCACGCTGATTTGCCATCATAAAAATACAATTGAATGCTTATTTTGCACTATAACATATATAAAGTAAACCGACAGGAAAATGTTCTTATACAATTGAAACAAATGCAGAATAATATTTTACTTAGCACTCACACTGAGAGAGAGAGAGAAGCAGCAGCAACAGCACAAAAGTTCCCGCCAATACGCCGAATCGAACATATGCCTCACATTACGTCATATACGTATAGATGAGTTATTTTAAAAACATTTTTGGATGTCAGTTCGTATCAAATGAAATTGACCCGCACAGGCCAAGAGAATTTATGCATCTCCGAAAAAATTATGTTGTTTAATGTTCAATAATGCAGCAAGATTATGCATCAGATTTTTCGTCTTGTTTTCCCATTCGCGCGAGCAGTAATTAACAATGGAACGACGGCGTAGAAGTGCGCGATACACATAACAACATGGTCGAAGATGCAAACGAAAATTCTGAGGGAGCGAAAGAAATTAATAACAAAGACTAATCGTTCGTTTGTTGACGAATATTTGTGCGTTAGTCGCATGTGCATATGTGGAATATGCAGTAATAAAATGCGTAATATGGTGCAGAGGAGTGTGCGCGCGCGACTCTGGAACACCACAGGAGAGAGAAAAAGAACGACATGAATGTGGGAAGTTAAATACTCGGCAAATCGATTCTTCATTCGAGAAAGAGAGAGAGAGAGTGCGAGAGTGAGTTTTTTTATTATGATTTTTTTTCAATTTGAATCGCTGCTATTTTGTGGCTCAAAGTTTTGTGAGTATGTGAGTCATCGACACGCATGTCGTTCATATGCCGTGCATATTCGATCGAATTGTTGAGATGTTTTGATGAGATAAAAATGAATGATCAAATAACGGTACAACACACTCTTTAAAATTTTGCAAGCTGATTTCATTTGTCGGCGACGGAGTATGTTATTACGACACTCGACGGCTTATATCGTGTACAATTCATTTTATTGTGTTCGTTGAAAGCGATGTCGAAGCCATCTTTTGAAAATTAAAACAAAATAAACAAAAATCGTTTCAAGTGTTTAACTTGATAAAACCCATTTGCTTTTATCTTGATTTTTGTGAATAAATGAAGTGCATTTCGAAGAATTTTTCGTCGGCGAAGACTTTGTTCTGCGTACGATTTTCGTCGAATCAAAATGTTACCACCAATGTTGATATCAAGCGTCCAATATAGAGCGCATTTATTCAAAAAACCGTAAATCTTCAGTTCATTAACTTGATTTCAAAGTTCGATTAGTTGATTCTCGGCCAAAAGATGATTATAAACCTTTTAAACGTATCACGTTTTTTTTTAGCGCAACAGAATAACAACTGCAGCAGCAGCACCAACGACAAATGCCAGAGAGACAAAATATTGATACAAATTGTTGTTGGTCAAAAATCTCTGACAACTGCACAGTGCAAAATTATCATGTTGAATACCTTTCGCTTTTGCACACTGCGAAAATGTTATTTCACGTTAAATGACCATGTAAGCTCGCTATTATCATAAATTATTATACGTGGTGTCACACGTTTTACTCAAAGCATATTAATTTGGCGCGCGTTTTTCTCTCACACACACTGTAATCACTGATGGAGGAATTTTCGGAGAAAAATAAGTATTGCATCCGGAGTGAAATATTCGAACTTGTTTTGAATTTTCGCAACTTATTGCAAAATTCACCAACCAAGGTGCGGAAATAGTACGAAATTTCAAAAATGCCGCGTATTTTAGTTACAAAATAAACTCCACTTTACATTGATTTGCTATATACCTCAGTGGCGCTAGTATCGTGAATGGGAGAAATTGACAGCTCTTCTTCCGAAACATGTCACCAACGAAATTGTTTGTGTGAAGATTTCTTCAATCTAAAAATATTTTCGATAAAACTTTTTTTATTCTCGATAATATTTTTTCTCGGGCTGTTGGAAAGAGCCTATAAATTGTTTCAAAACTGAACAAAAAAATGTTGTTTCCTTTGATTTTGTCCTTTCACCACATTTGGTTTTGTCAAAAATCATTGTAAATTGTATCGCAGAATTTGACTTTGATAATGTGTTCACAGGGACTTTTTTTTAACCGGAAGTGGAGTGGTGCAATGCACCAGAGCGCAAACGATTTGAGGGCGCACGAGAGTGCTGAAGGCGCTCGAGCGCCATATGAATTTCTTTCAGTTTTTCAAAATTCAAATCGAACGAGAAAAGTAAATGACAGCGCTTCTGGCGCTCGGGCACTTCGGCGCTCTTGTTCGATTTGAATTAAAAATCACTAAAAAATAGTTC